AATGCCATTATCCACAGGAACACAAGCTCTGTTTGTGATTACAGGAGTGTAGAGCATGGGCAGGTCACAAAGGCTAGACCCTTTGAAGGGCCTAATTAGAGATAGGACTAAAGAAGGCATTTGAGGCAGAAGGAGCCTTAGTCTAACTAAACAATCTGTGCCTGTGGCCATTAGGGACCTCAAGGCCCCTATAGCTTTTCATGGATTCATTCCTCTCATAGGACACTCTGTGTTCATGGCCTGGTGAACATCAGCTTTGGGACTGTCAGGCAGGTAGACTAATGATGAGAGCTCCAGCTTCAGAGAGCTGACAGACATAAGGGGCCACTGGTTGACATAAGGGGCCCTGGAAACTGCTTTTGGAATGTCATTTTCCATCCTAAAGCTAACCTGATACCAGCAGTCCATGTCCATGACAGTGTCATTGATGAGAAGAGTTCTGGAAATGGACCTGAAGCCCTGGGTTCCAGCACCAGGTCTGCCCCTCGTGATGTGTGACTCAGCTCTCTGTGGGTGTCAGGGGAGGCTCTTCATCACTCTGGTCACAGTGTCATTGGCCACGGGCATTTCTCTGACTTGCTCAGGGCTTAGCCCTGGCTTCCCTTTGGGAGAGGACCCTTACTTCTGATGATTCACATGAGTTGGAGCATCAGAGATTTGGGCCAAAAATAGAGATCTTTCTGTTCTTCAGACCATTGGGGGTATAATTTCTTGGGGTTCATCTTTCTTCTCCATCTGCCCTCATAACCAGTCAACTCAGCACCCGTTGCCAGAATCAGTGAGTGAATCATACTGATAATATTATTGCCCTGATCAGAAACCATCAGTGTCTCCACAACATCCACCAAAGACAAGGGAGAAAAGGAGGATGGAAGTCTAGAACTTAGGAAAGTTGGTGGGAAAGGCCCTGAGCCAGGGGCTGAAACCCTTGAGCCAGATGGAGGAGGCAGTGATCATTAATGGATAAGCTGAATGCACCAGAAGAGAGATGTTTTAAAGACAATTGAAGAGAAAGAGAATAAGTTGTGGTGGAAGAGCAAGGGGCCACAAACTCCAGCATCCTGGGAATGTCCATGCAGGGGGAGGAAAAGAAGATGGAGGTGCTGTCAGAGCTCAGATGGGATATGAGAAAAGTTAAAGAGACGCTGAGGAGGGAGGGAAACTTGTCTACGAGGGAATGGGCAGTCCTGGCCTTTCAGAGAGCCTCTAGAAAGGGGTCAAGTTGGGAGCTACTGAGGGCTTTGCCAGAGGAGACCCAAAGTGGGACAGCATGAGGAGGCAGATGGTCCTTTCTGGGTGCGGTGGTAAAAAATACCTGGGATGTAAGTGGGTACCTCCCGGGAGGTGAAGCAAGAGAATGGGAGAGGCCTGGGAAAGAAGAGGCTAAGTAGATATAGTGAGGATGATGGGAAGGAAGGAAGGAAGGAAGGAAGGAAGGAAGGAAGGAAGGAAGGAAGGAAGGGAGGGAGGGAGGGAGGGAGGGAGGGAGGGAGGGAGGGAGGGAGGAAGGAAGGAAGGAAGGAAGGAAGGAAGGAAGGAAGGAAGGGAGGAAGGGAGGAAGGAAGGAAGGGGAAGATTTACTGGACCCTTAAGAAGGTTCCTGTCCACCAGGATCCTAGAGGAAGATTCAGAAAGGATCTCTTGGAGCTGGCATACCTGTGCCCCACTGCCACCCCCAAGTATAAAGGTACCTGGTACCACCCAGGCAGAGCAATGTCCTCCTGGCTAGACAATAATTCAGTGCAGATCAGCCCCATAGGACCCCTAGGCCTCAAGAACCAGAGAAGTGTCTTACCTGACCACACTCTGAGGGTCCTGCGTCCAATCCTCCCAACCCAGCCACACTGGTAGAACTGTGGGGGCTGGGCTACCCACCCCACACACATGATAGCATACCTTGCCTTGTTGCCATCACCCAGGATGTGAAGGCTGCAGCTGCAGTGAGAGGGGCAAGAGCTCCAGGCCTGTGGGGGTCCCCCGAGGGCCAGGAGCCAGAGCATGCCCAATGTCACCCTCATGGCTCCTGGCTCCTCTGTAGCCCAGGCAGGGGCCTGTCCCTGGACTTCTCTGTCTTTCCTGCCCAGCAAGCCCAGCAATAGCTCACTGGCTCCTCAGCTCCCACCCCCCCCCACCCCCGGCTCAGATAAACACAGACAAGCTGGGGATTAGGGAAGGAAGCTCCAGCCTGAGCACTCAGCGGCTTATTGCTCCCTGGAATCATCTAGTCTGGAGAGTGGGGGTGGGGAGATCCCCTTCTGTAAAATAGTCACAGGACCAGAGAGGCCAGGGCCTGGCAAGGTGGGGCAGGCAGGTGGGCAGCCATCCCAAGTAGCTGCTGGGCCAACTGTCTGGGTTGCCCACCTGCAAAGCCATCCCAGGCCAACCAGGCTGTGGGAAGTAGAAACTCGCCAGGGTACGTGGGCTTAGAGGAGGTGAAGACAGAACCTGACCTCTGATAAGGATTATTGGAAATTATTTTCTGTGATACTATTTCATAGTGAAAAAGCAATGAGATGAAGGCAGTGAAGGTACTAGAAAGAGCCCAAACTCCAGGGCCACGCTGCCTGAGTTTAAATTCCGGCTTCTCTATTTATGGGGTGTGTGACCTTTGATAGGCCACATGATTCCTCTTGGCTTCTGTGTCCTCATCTGTCAAAAGAAAGTAATGTTACTTTACTCCGGGTGTTTATGAAAATTAAGCAACCCAAGTTTCCCAGACCTCGACAGCCTGTGAAAACAGAAGTTTTCTCATGAACAGTAAGGATCCAATTTTGTTGGTACTTATAAGTACCTGCTCATGTAAGAATTGGAAAAATACAGATATTTTGGATAGACTTCAGAAGTATCTCCCAAGGGCTCATGAACCCTCCCAGCCTGCTGGGTGAGCAGCTGCCTCCCCAAATGTACTGTGGACAACCAGTCTCCATACACAATGGCCAGTGGAGACCTCCTGGCCATTGCCACCAATGGCAAAGGCATGAGGTGTCTCCATGTAAGGGCAGGAGATGCCCCTCTCCTCAAGTCATCCTACTCTGAGGAGGGTCCCACAGCAGATCTCTCAGTTTTTGAAAGTACTTTCCATTTTTACACATTGTCCTCTACCCCCAACTTCATCCTATCATAGACATCCCCTTCCACTCATTCATTCTTCACATTTTACCCCAAGGCTTTTCAAGAAGGTTCCTTTGACTTTTCTAGAAGGTTCTTAATTCACCGCATGCCCATGAGCCTAGGCAGGTCTAGACCAGTGAAATGTGACCAAAGCAGGTACCTGGGGCCCAGCGCACACATGAAAAGTCTGGCTCTGTGCCAGGCCTGTTTTGACAACATTGTCTTCCAGGAAACTTAGTTCCCTTCCTTTACTCTCTCCCATTCCAGAAAATATGATTTTCCTGTGCTTCCCACCCCTACCTCATCTTCCCCAGACAAAGGCTAGCCTGGCTCATTCCCACATCTCTGCCCTTTCCTCCTCCTTCTGGGGCTGCCATCCTGTCTGACTTACCTAGCTGTCCTCCAAGCCCTGTCCTGCTTTCAATTCTGCCCTAAAATCTTTTGCAATCTTGCAGAGATAAAAGAAGAGAAAAGCAAAGAAAAGCAAAGCAAAGCAAGCAAGCAAGCAAACAAACAAACAAAAAAAAAAAAAAAAAAAAAAAAAGAAAAGAAAGGAAAAGAAAATCTGAAATACTCATTAACTGTAATGCAAGACAGAAACTGGAAAATGGCAGGAAAGACCCTGTGGTAACTGAGTTATCAAGGAAGGATTCCAGGAATATGTGAGTGTCAGCTCAGCCTTGAGGGATGTTTAGGCTTAGACATAAGCAGGAATCACAAGAGAAAGGCATAGGAAATGAACCTTCACAAAATAAAATTAGCTGTTTGACCAGGAACCCACCTCCCCCAGGGATTAGCAGATGGGGCTTTTGTGAAATACTGTGTAGCCTCAGTTTGCTCATATGAAATGGAAAGGAGTTGCGGGAATCATCATAAGCTCAGTTAGCACAGTATATGGCTCTTAGTGAGCACTCAATAAACATTGGCTATATTGCTGATAGTGTTCTGGGTTTTTGGTGTCTTTATCTGAAAATGAGTTAAGTTGTTCTAGTTAGTGTTTCCTGATGCAAATTTCACAATGAGCCAGTGTGTAACTTGTACCAGGACCTCATTTGTAGAAGCCAAAGCTCTTAGTGGGTTGTAGACCACTTACGAGAGAGCTGCAGACCCTCTGCTCCAAGCCATAGACCCTTAGAATGGAAATTGGGAGACTTTGATGCTTGTGTAGCTGAAGTGCTCTATGGGAGTCAGGAAGTGCAGCCCAAAGGGCTATACCCACAAGATATTCTTCTAACCAAGACGTACACAGTCCATGCAAAAAGATGCTTACATTGCAAAGGAGGAAGCAGAGACTCCAGTGTTCCCACCCCAGGGCACATAGCTAGTTAATGGCAGATTCAGAACCAGAACTCAAATGTCTAGTTCCAGTTGAAGTTCTTTCTACAACAGCAGCTGACTTCCCAGCCATCATCCTTCCCTCCTTGCTTGTGAGGACATGCATGCAAGAATGTAGACACATATATATGTGCACACACATGTACACAGGCACTCAGCTTGTCAGCACCTGAACAAACATGTTGGGAACTGGCTCCTAATCAGTTCTCGAGTACAGCTGCAACATCAAACCCCTCCTTCTGCTTCCCATCCCTCCCTTAGTTATGCAACTCTTCTAAATCAGCTCTCAGCCACACACCATTTTGATTCTGGGTCCTTAATCCTGTCTAGTGGGGCTGAAATGAATGAGATATGGTTTCATCCTGGCTTCACAAAGGTTGTACTGTCCAGCTGGTGAATAGGTTCCTTCTGCTTGGGCCAAGAGGGTGATTTGGGAGGAGGGGCAGCAAGAAGGAGCCCAAGATCTAGCATAATCACCTGCATGCGCCAGCATGTGAGATGGCTCTTTAAAAGGGAGGAGCCTGGCTTTGGGAAGCCAGAGAAGAGCTGGGCCAGCTGGAAGGAAGGCAAGGATGGCAGAGTCCAGGTCCCTGCCCACAGGGTTTGGGGAACTCGAGGTGCTGGCTGTGGGGATGGTGCTTCTGGTGGAAGGTGAGCCAGGCAGGACCTGGGGTGTAGTGGGGAACCAGCAGGCTCTCAGAACCCGAGCCACAGCTATGAAACTGACAAGGAGAGGTCACTAAACTCTGTGACTCGATCCATGGGGGCTTTGATGGCTGTACCTGTGAGATGCAACCTGCAGGCTGGGAGCCTAGAGGGAAAAGCCAGGCAAGGGTAAGGGAGGGAGGGACTTTGAGAGGGGGACATGTACCCAGCGCATGACCCCAAATCAGGGTTCAGGCCTTTGCATTGCCCTTTCCATAAGGAGAAAGTTTCATCCACTCCCAGGAAATTCTGCTGAGAATTTTGTATAAAATCAGGCCCCTGATAGGCTCTAAGAGATAGCTTAGCCAACTGTGTGACTATAATCAAGTCACTCAGGCTTTCTGGCCCTCAGTACCCTGACATTCCATGTGGGTGATGATGAAGATCAGATAGGATCATGGGTATAAAGTGCTAGCTGAGATAGATACTCAATGAGTTCAGTTAATTTAAGTTCATTTTAAATTCATTCACTCCCAGCCTCTCCAGCACCCCCATTAATGCCACCATCTCCATTCTCTCCACCCTAAGCATTTCCATTCTAAGGGTGATCTGGGTCCATGAGGTGCCAGCCTCAACCCAGAATCCCTAAGATGTTCACTGAGGCCAGAGCTGGGACTGTGCACCTGGGAGCTGGGTCACCCCAAGACTAAGTTGTTGGAGATGCAGCCCTTTTTCAGAGCAGATCCAGAGAAATAATCCTCAAAATTTTTCAGCCTGTAAGAAATGACAGTGGAGAGAGCAGCAGCAGCACAAGGCTGGTCCTGGTGGCCCTGGCCTCTTCTCCTCTCTACAATCTAGCATCTCTCTATGTCATCAAACAATTTTACCACTGCGTTTCTTTGCACATGCTGTTCCTGTTTCTAGAATGCTCTCTCTGCATCTTATCTTCTGACTGAATGCTCACAGTTTTGAAGACAGGATGCTTCCCCATTCCTCATTTTATTTTTTAATTGCTTTTATTATTGTTTAGTTACAGCTGTCCCTATTCCCTCCCCCCCACCCATTCCCACATTATTCACTTTAGATGGGAGAAGCCAAGGCTCAGAGAGTGTAAGTAGTGACCAAGCTGAAATTCAAAGTCGGATCTTTCTGCCACCTGAGACCACCCCCATCAAAGCTCACCTCTCTGCCTGGTGTCCTGGATAGCTCCCCGCTCTTACGACACCTCCTCCTCCTCGAGGGTCTTTCTTATGTTGCTCCACAGCACTTAGAGAAGGCATTCTGGAATTCGAAAGACTTGAATTCAATTCCCAGCTCCATCTCTTACAAGTTGTGTGCTTAGGGCAAGTTAGCTAGGGTCTCTGAGCCTCAGAGACCCAAATGTAAATTGGGAGAACAACATTCATCTGAAGATTGAAGGACAGGATTTTTGTAAAGTGCTGAGCACCATGCTGCCTGTGATAAGGACTTGGGGGCCATTCATGATTACAAATGTTCTAGCATAAACTGCGCTGTGCTTTATGGGCTTTCTGCCTAGTCTGTCTTCTCATTAGACTGCACATGGTACAGAGCAGGGTGTGAGTCTTACAGCTTTCAGTCTCTGAGGGCCAGTTCTGCTTGTAGGTGTTTGATGAGCTGCACTCAGAAACTTGCTAAATGTGAAGGATTAGGGATAGGAGGTTGTTCAGGCTCTGTCCACCTCAATCTCCCGGTTATGATCCTGGGTGGGCCTCAGAAACCCGCTATGGCAGTTTCTACTTTCTTTTCAGCTCTTGCCGGTCTCAGCCTCAATAGCCTGACCATCCTCTCTTTCTGCAAGAACCCGGAGCTTCGGACCCCTAGACACCTGCTGGTGCTGAGCTTGGCTCTTGCAGACAGTGGGATCAGCCTGAATGCCCTCGTTGCAGCCACATCCAGCCTCCTTCGGTAACATCCCCCCTACCTTCCACCAGTCCCTGGGCTCTGGGTTCTTGCCTAGGGCCTGATCTCTAGCCACTGAGCAGCAAAGCCAGAAGCATTCTTCCTAACAACTGAAAACTGACCCTAGCAGGGAGGGCAGGCTGAACTAGGCTACATCTGAATTCCAGACTTTTCAAAGTTTCTCAAACCTGACCAACAGAGCTGACTGACTGTAGGGATGAAGAACATGGGCCCTGTAACCGGGCTGCCTAAATCTAGATCTTGCCATCATTATTTCTACCTCTTGGCATCTTCTCTAAATTGGATATTATCACCTAACTCGTATGGTAGTTGAAAGTATTGACCTTTTATTATTTGTAAATAACTTAGAATTGGTACCTGGGAAGCCCTAAATACATGTTTGTTAAAGTGAACAGCATTTTGACAAGAGTCTCAGACCTTATGTGCAAATCAGGATCTTCCAACATGGCCTCAGAAGGTGTTTACATGACTGTTTTCTTAAGCAGACTGAACATTGGGCACTGCAGATGGGACTGGAGTCCACCTGGGCATTAATGATCTGTGGGTCTAAATCAGTGAGGATTCCTTGCTGTGATCTCCTACCTCTGCCTAGGATGAAGGATGGGCAACTGAAGCTTTTACCCTTGCTTGGCCTATGAAGCCAAGATTTGGGAGGCCTGAGTTCTACTCTCTGACTTTGCTTTCATTTGCTCTGTGACCTTGGCTCGGTACCTTGTCTTCTCTGAGCCTCAGTTTCCTAATCTATTGAAGAAAGTTATAAGCTCTCTTTCCAACCAGTACAGTTCCATGTACTGTAAGGGAGGCACCTGATCACAGAGAGAGAGACCTTTGTTCCAACACTGGTGCTGAGCTTGGAGAGTTTGCATCTGGCTCCACACCTTCAGGCCAGTGACTTGAACTCTAAGGCCCATTTCCTCATAGAAAACAGATAATAAAGCCCTTTTCTGAGGAGCTGGGCCAATGTTCAAGAAGGTACCCTCTGAGAGGAGGGCAGGGACAGAGGGGAGGATCACTGTGCCCGGTATCTCCCACAGGCACTGGCCCTATGGCTCAGATGGCTGCCAGGCTCACGGCTTCCAAGGCTTTGCAGCAGCACTGGCCAGCATCTGCAACAGCGCAGCCGTTGCTTGGGGGAGTTATCATCACTACTGCACTCGTATGTTTGGGGCTCCCAGGGGGGAGGGACATCCATGCAGTGAGGGTGGATGGAATGAAGATCTGCTCAGTGTCTCCCAGCTCAGGGGAGTGTGGGTGGGGGTTAGTGTGCACAAGGGTGGGGTATGGGCAGTCAGGAAAAGAGAAAGGCTGGGAGAGTGCAAGAAGAGTGTTGAGGTATGGGCTGGAAAACCTGCAACCTCAAGCAAGTCACAGGTCCTCACTGAACCTTAGTATTTTCCTTTGTGAGATGGTTTTAGTGACCAGCCTCACAGTTTTATTCTGAAAATCAAATGTGATCATGGATGCAGAAAATGTCCTTGAAGATAGGCACTGTTAGGGGGCAGAAAGGTGATATGGGGGGGGCTAGGCATGTGCCTCCACACTTCATACTTCTGCAGAACTTCTGCCATGCCGGAGCTTCATAAAAACCAGTATAACTCTGGATTTCCCAAGCCGTATTGTCAAACATCATCTTCATAATTGACCCTATCAGAGTACCACCTGTTGTTATCTACTTGATATTTCTTTTTTGGAAGTAACTCACTTTAAAGATTTTAAACACCGGCTTCATTCTTGTTCTAAACAATATCTGTGACATCGCAGCTTTAATATTCTTTTTAAAGTGTTTTTATTGATTATGTTATTACAGTTTTCCCAATTTTCCCCCCTTTACCCCCCTCCTCCCTACCCCCCAATTCTCCAGCCTTCCTCCCACTTAGTTCACGTCCATAGGTTGTACATATAAGTTTTCTGAGTCCTCTGTTTCCTATACCATTTTTATCTCTCCCCATTTATTTTATGCCTATGAATTAGGTTTCTTCTTCCCTGTCTCCTTCCCATCCATTCCCCCCTTCCCTTCCCCACTGAACTCCCTCTGTGTGATTTCCATTTCTCTGATTCTGTTCTTGTTCTGGTTGTTTGTTTAGTTTTTCTATCCATTGTTTTTGTTTTCTTTTAGGTTTATTTGTTGATAGTTGTGAGTTTGTTGTCATTTTATTGTTCATATTTTTCATCAGACGGTTGCACAGTCTGTCTCCCTCCCCAGTTTTGCCTGGTTTATCTGCATGCTCGAATGTGGGACTACCCGGTCAGCAGTGCATGCAGTGCCTGGCTTCACAATTGCCACTTCTCTAGGTCTGCCTGTTGCCACCTCACACCCAGGATTCATCCACTGCCATCTTGTGTGCCCGGGGTGACTTGTGTTCCTGGGGCGACTTGTGTGCTTCCTGCCACTATTTTTTGTGCCCCAAACCCTCTCCACTCAGCTGCCCAACTCTGCCCTGCCTAGTGGTCTGGATGAATGTGTTTATTTTAACTTCTTGGTTGTCTAACTTCCATGCAGTTCAATTTCCTGTCAGTTCTGGTTGTTATTTTGTTTCTAAATTGTTGTTGTCCTTATTTTGGTTGTGCAAGGAGGAACAGTGTGTCTACCTACACCTCCATCTTGGCTGGAATCATGTCTCTTCTTATAAAGGCACTTAATCCCATCATGGAGGCTCCACTCTCATGGCCTAAGTACCTCCCAAAGTTCTCCAACCCCGAATACTGTCATGTAGTGATTACGGCTTCAATATGTGAATTTGGGGTGGCAGGACATAAACACAGTCCATAGAAGGAGGACATATCCAAGCAAACTCCTTCTGGGGCTGTCAGTGGAATCAAAGTGTCAGGATAAGGGGGTTTGTAGGCCTCTTCTCTACTGACCAAACCCCGCCTAAAGTCTTGTCCATTATCCTGGAGTGTTTTTATTTCTTGCTTTAAAAAATATATTTTAGCCATGGCTGGTGTAGCTCAGTGGTTTGAGCGTGGGCCTGCGAACCAGAGCATCGCAGTTTGATTCCCAGTCAGGGCACATGCCTGGGCTGCAGGCCAGTTCCCAGCAGGGGACGCATGAGAGGCAACCACACATTGATATTTCTCTCCTCTTGAAAAATTTCTCTCCTCTTGATATTCCCCTCTCTTGAAAAATAAATAAAAAATATTTTTTTAAAAAAAAATATATATTTTATTGATTATGCTATTACAGTTGTCCAAATTTCTTCCCCTTGACTCTCTCTGCCTGGTATCCCCATTTCCTCCAGGAATCTCCCCCTTAGTTCATGTCCATGGGTCATGCATATAAGTTCTTTGACTTCTCCATTTTCTATACTTAACATCCCCCTGTCTATGTTGTACCTACCAATTATGCTTCTTAATCCCTGCACCTTTCCCCCAATTCTGCCCCTTCCCTCTCCCAGCTGAAAACCTCCTAGCCGCTAACTAAAGTAACATGACATAAACTATGGACAGAGAAGGCATCTGGGGAAGGCATTCTGAAGTGAGATCCAGGAGGAATCACTGGATGAGAAGGGATGGGTGAGGCTGTAAGGGATATAGGTGGAGGGATTGTGGAGGAGGTCAGGTCAGTGAGACTGGTCACACCAAAAAATGCTGTCAGGACCCAGCCTCTGTCAGTGTGACTGAGATGGAGCCCCAAATCCTGAGTCAAGAGTTCTCAAAGAGTATCCTGAAAGCAGAGACAGTGATCTGATTCTGAGTAAGAGCTGAGATGGTGGTAAGTCAAGACTCCACTTTCTTCTCCCAATGACCCTCACCTGAACCACTGTCCATGTTTCCGTCCTAATTTAGCTTGGGAAGCACACCTGTCTTCTTTCTCGGTCCTCTAAAGAAGATGGTATAGAGTGTCTACTACAACATCTTCCCATCTATTATCTCTCTTGTTCTTCATAACAATTCTCTAATGCAGGAACTATTATTCCCTTTTGTGAAGAAGAAAAGTGAGGCTCAGAGAAACTTTTAACTTGACTGAGGCACTAAGCTATTAAGCATCAGAGCCAGGATTTAGGACCATTTTGCATGACCATGAAGTTCATTCTTTGTCACCCTGATAGCTGTCATCTCCTCTCAACCATCCTCCTCCTCTGTCCATGCAGACAGCCCATTGGCTTGGGACACGGCTGTATCCTTGGTGCTCTTCGTGTGGCTATCTTCTGCCTTCTGGGCAGCACTGCCCCTCCTGGGCTGGGGCCACTATGACTATGAGCCTCTGGGGACATGCTGCACCCTGGACTACTCCAGGTGAGGTGGAAGGCTCCCTTCCATGGAAATCTTGGCTTTGAGCCCTATGACAGAGATGTCATAGCTTAAAATCCAAATGAGGGAATGTCAACATTTGCCAGACAATCTCAGCTCCTTAGTTATGATACCCACTTGCAAGTTAACAATGGAACTGGGGAGAGCTCATTATTAACACTGACCAAGTGATCGAATTGTTATGCAAATTGAGGCAAAGAGTTGCTCACCAAAAAAGAGAATCAAAGTGGTCTCATGACCACTTTATCATCTTCATCACAGTCAACTGCCCAAGTTCTGACTTTATTAATTTCTAGAGGAATCATATCTGTCCTTGGATTAAGTAGATTGAAAGAACATTAAGCTCTTTGCATTGGGAGGGACCCCCTTGACAAAGCATTCAGGTTTCTGAATTCTCTGGGCATCTGCTGTGAGACAATCCTTGGGCCAAGCCCTGGAGAGACAGCAGTGAATGCATAGTGACCACACCCTCATGGGGCATGTGTCTAATACTGCCCCACCCGTGGGTCTCTGGGGAGACCAGGACTTAGGGAGACCTGTTAGGGGAGGGGTCACATGGGCTCCAGCTCCTCTCTTACTTCTATTAGAACCATGTTGCTTTCATCTGCTTTACATGTTTACTCACATTTACTGAGGGAGCATCTGCCCCTGAGGAAAGCATTTTCCCAGGTGAAACCCACTTGGGGACCCTGGGTCTGGTGCAAGCATCCCACCAGGGCACTCCTTGCAGGTATTTTCCCAGCCTATATCCAGTTCTTCTGACATCCCTTCTTCCCTCCTATCCTTAGCGGACAGCACCAAGGTGACATGATACCCCCTTAATAAAGGGTCTGCCATTCCACCTCCCATGACCACAACAATTTCTTCATTGACACAGTGCCCAGTCTGTTCACTATCCTCAGGCACCTTTCAACCTCTGTGCCAGGAACACTCCTTGAATGCTCCTTCCTCTTGGTCACTGACACCTCCATCTGATAAACATGCTCCCCAAAGGAAAGTGTCCCAGTCTCCATGCTTGGGGCACATACAAAACTAAGCACTTGAACTGGCCAACAGCGAGTTGAAGGAGGACCCTCCCTCACCTCAGCTGCCTGGCTCCTTAAGGCAAGTTTTAGGAGGACCTAGTGGCTCTCTGGCTCTGATTGGAGTTAAACTGGGACCCAGGAGTGCCCACATTCTGAGTACCCACCTGAGGGGAGTGGCCGAGGGGCTTCCATGGTAGTGATCTTCACAGAGAGATGACCCCTACTATCCTACCCCCTCTGCCTGCAGAAACTTCACCAGCTTCCTGTTCACCATGGCCTTTTTCAACTTCCTCCTGCCCCTCTTTATCACATTTATATCCTATCGGCTCATGGAGCAGAAACTTGGGAAGACAGGACATCCCCAGGTAAGGTCTAACTTTTAGAGCAGAAGAAATCTCTCTGTCCCACTCAGGGGCACCAGGGAACATGAGTGATGTGACAGACAGCAATTGGGAGTTTTCTGTGTTTTCAACAATTGAAGTAGATCCAGCTTTCATAGAGATGAGGAGTTAGGCAAGAATGTACCCTCCCTGTGGATTGCCAAGATGTGGAGGGAAGGTCGGGATGGCTCAGACTCACTGAACAGACACCGTGACCCTGAGGACCAGGGCCCTGCCAGACACCCTCCATGCTGTGACATTTCTTTCTCCCCAAGGATGTGAGTATTGGCACAAAATTACATACTTTTTAAATTCTGTTTTGAATCGCTTTGATATGTTTAATTTAATCACAGGCACAAGCTGTTACCCACAACAGAAAATGACACCTGCAAGCATAATTGGCCAAAAAAAGCAACACTTCAAAATAAGCCCCTCTGGCCATTTCTGAATTTCTACATTAATATTCTCTTGCCACAATTTTTTTGTAACTTTATTACCTGGTTAAATCTCTAGCAGATGAGCCATATAAGCACAAAAGATTTTTTTAAAACCACGTATTAATAGTACTTTATGTGAATTACGTCATTTCATTTTTGCAACCACTCTAGAGGAAGGAAGGTTTTATTATCCCTATGTCACAGACTAGAAAATTGAGCAGGAGTGGGGTTAGCTAAGCAATTTATAAAAAGTCAGAATTAGGAACAGCAGCATTGGATCAAACCTGGGTCTGGGACAATATCACCAAGTGGTCAATCATGAATCATAAAAAAATAATTCTCATTGAAACATTTAATTTGCCACATTATTGTTTTCTTTGAATGGGAAAAGGACTATCCAAATCTATTTTCCCTGGAGTCCAGGCTTCCCTCAGGTCTCAGAAGGAGGATGAGGGACCTGAATCACATCCCAGGCTCCCAGTTGGGTGCTTACCTCCTCATTACCACCTCCAAGGCCTGTCTGGGTGCTCAAAGTCACCACATTCATTGGAGACAAGTCTGCCACACAACTGTTCTCATTTTTCTGGGTTGACTTTAAACCATCAGTTCTGATAGCATCAGCAGGAGTTGCCATGCACTGGCCCAGGGACCTTGACTATGAGCTTAAATCACCTTTTTTGATAAAGGAAGACATAGTCAGGAGAAGATAGACATCAATTTTTAGTGTCAGAGTTTATCATCTGAGTGTATGTGAAAAGAAGAACATGGCAACCTCTATCCTAAAATCAGACTACCAGTTGAGTGCTTCCCTGTGGTCCCAGGTAGTAAGTACCACATCACCAACTGCCTGGCTGTATCTCACTCAGTGGAAAGCAGCCCCTTTGAACCCAGGACAGGTTGACCAGCCAGGTAGCTGCAGTTGCTGATGGAGAGCTGGTTCTGGGACTGAGGTGTGAGAGCAGCTCAGCCTGGGCTGCTCTCACACCTCAGCCCACAGCCACACTCACAAGACCCAGTACAGAAGCTCATTGCACCTACACCCTGCCTCCAGGCCAGTCAGGTAGTATCTGACCATTTTACAGACAGGGTAACTGAGGTCAAGTAAGCTTAAATGATAGGATTAGGGTCATGCATCTTAAACAGCAGAGCGATCCCTCTGGTCCCAAGTTCACCCTCAGGCTCTGAACCTTCACACAGCCTGGTCCAGCTGCCCAGCCCTTGCAGAGTGCTTACACAGTCCTGGGGCTGAGTGGGGCTGCCAACCATTGGAGCAGGTCAGTGCCTTCCTCCTGTGACAATCTCTCCCCAGGTGAACACCACCCTGCCAGCCAGGATGCTGCTGCTCGGCTGGGGCCCCTATGCCCTCCTGTATCTGTACGCAGCCATCACAGATGTGACCCTCATCTCCCCCAAGCTGCAGATGGTACAGATGCAGTTCTAGCTCTGGGTTCAGAGCTAGAACTCTCTCCATGTTTGTGTCTCTGTTTCACCCCATCTCTCTTTCTCACTTTACTGCCTCCATGAGAGTCTGTCTTTCTCTCTTCCTTTGAAACTCATAATTCACTGGGAATTTGCTTGTCACCCAGGCCACGTGGGGATGCTGCTTGACCTTGCCTCAGCCTCATGTGAGATGGCAGAGATAGACAGCCAGATGGTGAACATGCATTCTGGGGTCAGGGGCTGACACTGTGCCCAGGGAGGCATGTGTTCTCACACATCATCCGACAGCTTGTCGGGAAAGATGTAGAGGCAGCAAGACAAATGATTGGTGGCTTAGGTGCTAGGCAGGGAAGCTGAGGTCACTAGGTGGGACCAGAGAGAGGAGCAGAAGCTTTGAAACTTGTTTTCTGGATGTTTTTGCAACAGGTACCCGCTCTCATCGCCAAAACGATGCCCACAATCAACGCTGTGAACTATGCCCTGGGCAGTGGCATGGTCCACAGAGGAATCTGGCAGTGCCTGTTGCCAAAGAGAAGTGAGCAGGACTGAGCACACTGAGCCTCTCCACAGGGCTGCTCAAACGCAGGCCCACCCCTGCCACTCTGGACTGAGCTCCAGGATGGGAGGCTGCACAAGCAGTCCTACCCTGCAGCCTCAGAAGCCAAGCTCCAGACATACATCATCCACCCCTAGGCTGGACACAAGAAAGGAGCTGGGCTTAGGGCCAGAGAGACTTGAATGTTAGTTGTAGCCCTCCACACAGAAGCTAGAGACCTCGGGAAAGTCATTGTTCCTGACCTTAACACAAATAATTAATATGGCCCTGGCTGGTGTAGCTCAGTGGATTGAGCATGGGTCTGTGAAGCAAAGGATCACCGGTTCAATTCCCAGTCAGGGCACATGCCTGGGTTGCAGGCCAGGTCCCCGGTAGAGGACACATGAAAGGCAACCACACATTGATGTTTCTCTCCCACTCTTTCTCCTTCCCTTCCCCTCTCTCTAAAAATAAATAAATAGAATATTATATATATGGATTCTCCAGGGCTATTGTGAGACTTGAATAAGAGAATGTATATGCACCATGCACACAGAAGCTGCTCATTGGAACAGAATTGTTAGGACTTGGGGTTTTACATCAAAAGGGGTAAAAGTCCTATGTTACCTGTGGGTGCTCAACCCAGGCTTCCAGCATTCATATGCTGCTTGCTAAACTATCATCTGGTGTAAGTGACTTACTCTGCCTGTACATCTTTCCCAGCCTGTGAGATGTGATGGCAGTAATGGCAACCTGACCATGCAGAAAGGACCAGCGTGTCAGCTGGCATGCTAAGTGCTCACCGAGAGTTGTCCACCAGTACTAGTCAAAGACAGCTAAGCTCCATGTTGCTTAGTTGCCAACATTAAAAAGCAATTTATTTAAAACTCCAAATGTCTGAAGAGGAAGTCCCAGCAGTCTCCTCCATGATGACAGTTTGCAGGGGTCGGGGCATCTCTGCCTTTTGCCCGGGGCATGTCCTCTCCAGTAGCTGCTGCTCATGCATTCCCTGCAGAGCCCACGGCCATCTGGGTTTGTGACACTAACACTGGAGTCCCCATCCCTGGATGTACAACTGTTCCTCCCAGAGTCAGCACTGTAAGGACAACGTTCACAGATCAGGGTGGGACCCGTTGCCCTAGAGGAAGATGGAGATGGTTGGCAGGGTGATTAAGGGCTCTAACAGAAGTTATGATGATGGAGGGGCAGCTGTCCCAGGCACCAGTGAGGCAGGAAGGATAGAGCTGAAGAGGGAAGAGACAAGCCCCCAGAGCTGGGGCATGGGATGGTCATAAGAACAGCATTTGGGGTCTCTGGGAAACAGGACCTGACTCTTGGTTTTGCAGCTGCCGAAAATCAGGTCACATTAACATAACTCACAAGAAGTCCACACAAAGCCGAGGCCAGTCCAATCATGTTGAAAAACGAGGGTGGGTGAGAGGAGACACCCTTCCCACATAATTCTTTTCTAGACCATACCCTATGCCGGATGCTATGGAGACAACTCAGCCTCACTCCAGCACTCACACACGGTTCTTATCTTAGGCCCTGGAGGGGGGCCAGCAGGGAAAATCCTGGGCCTGGGCTGTGCTAACACACAGGCTGTTTGGGTGGCCAAAGCGATGGTGGAGCTCAGCAATCAGAGTTGCTGACCCTGCCCCCACAGTCCATGGATCCTTAAACTGTCTTAACTGGAGAGCTGACCTCCACTCCACCATTTGACATACCCCACTGAGGTGGAACAAGGAAGCAGTGAGAAGAGAAGGGAGATGAACCCAGACTCACAGAAAAGGTGGAAGATGAGAGAGGCTGATGACATCCAGCAAGAATAGCCAATGTCCCCACACAGATCACACCCCAACCTGTACTGAAAAGAGAGATGGGGAGAGAGGGAGGTGGGCTGGGTGTAGTCAAGGACCGCTTTAGCCCTAGCTCAAGTCTGTGTGGAGCTGGGCGTGGTGGGCTCAGAGCATCTTCATGCTGGACTGGGTCAGCAGGAGATGAGAAGGGCTGACGTGGGAACACATGGGTAGGGGGAGATCCTTAAAGCCTGAAGCCATTTATTTAAGAAGTTTCAAGTCTACCCAGACCCTCCCTTCTCATTCACAAAGTGGGTTGAGGGAGCCTCATTACCATTGGGTATTTTCCAAAGTACTTTTAGGACCTAAAGGCACTCGTGGAAACTGTGTGCAGGGTCTCTCCTCTGCCTACCTGCCCACCAGCCCTCTAGGACCCCCGCCTCAACCTTTCATGGAGCAACTCAGCAGCAAGGACAAGAGAGGTAGCTGAGTCTCGTCTCAGGCCCACCTTTCTGTGAGCCCTTGGCAGAGTCACTGGGCTGGGAGAGGAATCAGAGCCACTAGTCCCTGGATCTCAGCCAGCTCCTGTCACAAGGTAGAGCATAGCCGCCAAGGGTGGCACCTCCGGAAGCTCCCTTTGCTCTGTGTGGCCCTAGCACCAGATCGCAGCCCTCAAACTGTCTACAGCAAACATGTATCACTTCTACAGTCAGAAAAACATACTCATACGTGAAGTAAGGGGTTATTTCTGCCTCCTTGAAGCTTTTGTTTCCTGCCCCCTCCTGTTAGTCTGATTTTGGCGACCCTCTCCGCCATCACTCTCACCTCCGTGCTCACACTCAGGCTCCTGTTTCTCGGGCACCCCACATCTTTCCCCTCCATTCATTCCTATGGCCCCTAATAGCACATAGTAGGGATACTACCTGCTCCCCTCCAACAGACACAATATGCTTAGGGGGTACACACCAGCATGGTCCTCTTTCCCACACTATCAATCACTGGGGACACCATGCTGTCCCCAAGTTCTCCAAAAGTCAGGAGAACTGAGGCCAATGGTGGGCGGGTGAACCAGAACCCTGATGAACCAGGAAAGAAGGGTGAAAACAACAGAGACTCCAGAGCCTGGTCAACAGATCTGAGAGCTCAAGGCATCTTCGCTGGGGCCTGGGAACCAGCCCTGCCTTTGCTCCAGGCCTCACCAGTACTCCAGGTGCATTGGCCAAAGAGTCCGGAATGGGTTTGGAAAAGGTCACCAAAAAGCAGGTGAACAACCAGAACCAGGTGCCAGAAAACAATTAAGCAATCACTTTCTCATTTGTAGGTGAGCATCCATATGACCCCTACCCCTTCTGTGCCCTTTGGTCTTGCTCATCTATTCATTCAGTGTGCCTTTAATGAGCAGCTGCTGTGTTGATGGGATGACATAGGGCCGAGACCCTTTCCAGTTTCCTCAGGAGGAATTCATGGCCCCTTTAGCTCTTCATGGCATTTGTGAGTAAAAAGTTGGTGCTACCATGGCTCCAAAGTCAAAGGAGAGATTAAGGCAGAGTCGTGTCCAAGTGAGTGCCATTAGCCACTGTATTGATAGTAAGGGTGATCCTGATTGCTTGAAAGTTTCCATCAGAATCTCTCCAGCTCTTTACTCAAAACTAAACTCTTTGCCCTCTTTGTAGACAAATGAAACATGCCCTCTGAGCTTCACTGTGCATTTGGTTTAATCATGTGTTTCAACAGAATTGTCCCCTGCTGAGCTTCAATGCACTGTGCCTGCAGCCCCATTCTGGATTTTTAAAAGAGTTTCTGTGGTTTGACTCGATGACCTAAATGCCATCATTATTTTTCACAGCAACAGAGGCAGGGCCCAGGCATGCTCTGGTGCACCATGACCAGGCTCCAGCCCTGCCAGCGCCTCCCCAGAGGCCACAGTGAGTCAGCAGCTCTCCTCTGTGGTCCACCCTTCCCCTCCCCTCAGTCTGCGTGGGCTCTGACGGGGCAGAAGGTTTTCAAATGCCATCAGAAGTCTAACTCTTTTTAAAAGAAGAGGTTTGTTATGATTTAAGGTTTGAGTCCTCCCAAGATTTGTTTGTTGAAGTGTTGAAGCCCTAAATCCCAGTGTGACTACAATTAGCGATGGGGCCTTTACAGAAATGATTAAGATTAAATAAGATCTAAGGGCGGAGCCCTGATCTGACAGGATTAGTGTCCTTCTGAGAAGAGACACAACAGAGTTCTCTCTCCACTCACACGCACTAAGGAAAGGCCATGTAAGGACACAGTGAGAAGGCAGCCATCTGTAAGCCAAGGGGAGAACTCTCACCAGACACCAACCCTTCTGGCACCTTGATCTTGGACTTTGACCTCAGAACTAGGAGGCAATCCATTTCTGTCCTTTATGGACCCAGCCTGTGGTGCTGTTGTTATAACAACCCCAGGAGACCAGCACAATGTTACAACAAAGCTCATTGCTTAGAACAGATGACAGAGCCCAGCTGGTGCCACCGCCCCCGACCTCAGAGTTCTCAGTGCTGTTTCTGTAGAATCCTGAGTTTGTATGAAACCCAATTTAAAAGGCACAAAACTTGTTTTCTAATATTGCCTCCCATTCTTGGACCCACTGATTTCAGTTTATTTAGATTTCTAGCAAAGAAATACAAGTTCAATAGAATAATACCCCCAACTCACCCCATTGTCTTGCTGGGAAGATGACTCTGCCTATTGACAAATGGACTTGAATTAAAGTCACAAATAAATCAGCAAGCTGTTTCTGAGGCAAGTAAACAGAAAATCCCTGCCCTCCTCCCCAAGATCCCCGCCGAGACAGTTTTCCGGGGAAGGGGAGTGGCTGGGTGCCTGCCTGATTAGCAGAAAAGGAAACACAAATTAATTATAGCCTAAATTTTATATTCTCTCTTAAACGTAAGAATACTTTGCAAATTTTTCACATAGATAAATAAATTCAACATCAAGATAGAACGCCTGGTGTATTTATCTCTGTCTTTTCCACAAAATTGATAGGATTTCTGCTGTTTTCCCTGTCAGAGACACTCCTACTTCAATTTGCTCGCACACAAGCTCACGGTACCTCCTACTAAACTGCCTCCCGTCTTGTGTCCCCTCTATCAGTAAATGTCATCATTACGTACCCTGTCCTACACGGCAAGTGAGGAAAAAAGGATGGGTGGGGGAAGCAAATATCTAGTATGCAGAAAAGTCTACCTGGCAGGTCAGGACGGCACAAGCTTAGCTTCTACCACAAGGTGGCAGTGCTATCTCAGTGATGAGTTCTGCCTGGGCCGTCAGCTCAGGAGGTGCCCCTCTGAAGAGCCTGAAAGTGCCCTGGCAACGGGGCGTGGGTGAGTTTTTTATTTTGACAGAATCTCAGACAAGCTTTCTTTCTTGCTCTTGATGCAGCAGCCTGATGTCTAGCTGTTCTCTACGTCAAGTGAATTACGTGATTCTACCCCTCTTCTTGAAGGGAGCAGAATTGCGTGCCCTTCAGCCAGAAGGACTCTCAAATAGCACATAGAGTTCCCCTCTCTGCCTGTAGGATGGTTACTGAAAGTCTGGTAGATGTAAACTCCTCCCATCCAAGTTGTAACCAGGCCCAACCCTGCTTAGCTTCTGAGATCAGACGAGATCCAGTGCGTTCAGGGTGGTGCGGCTGTAGACTAGATGTAAACTTCTAAAGCCTTCC